CGGCGACTAACTGTGAGCTGCCTCTTACGGTTAAATTTGGAAAATCCTAGGAGAAAATTGAAAAGCGAAATCTTTTTAGAAAGTGGTAGTCTCCTACAATAGTATACGGTTTTTTTCATACATGTATGTGTATATAACAATAGTTTTTCACAACGAAATCTAGAAGGTAATAATAGATAATGAATGGATGGGATTCAGTCGAGGGCTAAGCGACTCGTAACGACGAGCGTTACTTGTAAATATGTGATATTTCCTCGACTGTAGGGAGGGTCATATGAAAAAAAAATGGATTGTTTGTGTGTGGGTTTGTGACAGGGTCAAAAGAACATCGGGGTCAAAAAAACATCCGATCAGCGATATTTTTTAATGGTTGACGAAAGTAAATCGGGGCCAGGGAAACCGAATCTGAAGTAGGTTTCTGAAAAGTTTGAATTGTGTTTTTTCAGTCAAGGAAAGGGTTTTTCGAGAAAATACCGATATTTTATAAAGCTTGACGAAGGTAAATCGGGGTCGAGGGATCCGAATGTGAAGTCAATTTCTAAAAATTTTGAATTGATTTTTTTGGGTTCAGGGAAAAAATTTTTTTGAGAAAATAATAATATTTCCTCAGGTGTAGGAAGAGTTATATGAAATAAAATAAATTTTTGTCTATTATTGTCAAAGTGAACGATGAAACGGCATTAAAAGAACCTTGGCTAAGTGTTCGGTGGTCGGGCTTGTAATATTGGGCTTTAAACCAATTCTATTTTTCAAACTGAAAATTCATTTAATTCGACGTATGCGTTAAGTTCTTCCTCAATGAGCTGTTTTATAACTAGGTTTTCACGGATGAGGCTTGTTTGTAGCTGAGTTTCTAACTGGTGATACTTTGTAGAGGGCAACTCGTGTCAGTGAAACCTTTAGGATCTGGATTTGAGGAAAATATGAATTCGTTGTTTGTAGCTAAAGAGGTGTAGTTATTTTGACGATACCGGCAGGTATTATGATATATCCTCATTGAAATTTTCGTCTAATAGTAGAGAAAGAAGGACATGATGGTGAGATATTCAACAGTTTTATTTTAATTATTTGTTAGAATCGTGGTAAATGCGGTTATAGCTGTTTTGGAAAAAATTGTTTATTTCACAAATGCTTTGGTAAACCCAAACTCTATTGAATCTAGTTACCTTTAAAATATAACAGAGAATCACAAATGTAGTTTGTTGATTTAACTTAAGTCGATGATTTAGTGGTGTCGAAGTGAAAAGAATAATCTGATTTATGGAGAGTATTCTATCTTTTGTTTCTTGTAACCTAGTAATCAAGAAAACAATGCTGAGTCGCATTTAACGTTATCAGTAATTTTCATAGTATGTTGACTTTTTCTAGATCATTTAGTAAAAATGTTGAGTGTGTCTTGCCACATTTTCGTTCATATTAGTATGTCTTTGCTATGCATTCTGAAGATAAATGTTGCTGATCGCTCTTCTATAATTATCGAAAGAGATTTAAATAATATCTCTAAGGTTGGACTAATTGAGAGAGACCGAAGATGACATGAAAATTGAAATGTGTGTCAGCTTCATCTGTGACGAATCATTTGAGGCATTTTTTTCAGAACCTAAACTTAATTGCAACATATATCTTTTCTGCATTGATGTGTCCAAGCCAATCTGAGAGAAGAATAGTACAAAACAAGAAACCATTTTCTCTACAGAAAAAAGTCATATAAATGAAAATGTATAGTGTAAAATTCGAAATATATCTTTGTATCTAATTTAAGTAAAATTTAGTGTAATTTTTTTTCTAAAGTGATAGAAGCTGGCAGAGAAATATGAAATGATGAAATAGATTTTTTTTTACTTTTTTTATATATCAATGCTTAATTTATTTTAGAGCCTTGCACCGATTATTATTAATGATGGCTTGAGGTCTAATAATGAAGCATATTGCAATATATTCATTGTTAGTTGAATCTTTTGCAAAGTGTTATCGAAACAAAAACTGTATTTTTAAAATTATTGATATCAATGTGGAAGAATTCTACTTCGTATGGCGAGGAATCAAAAAGAAAAATAGAGTATGGAAAGACTATTACAATTTTACTTGAACCCGTTAATATAGTCGTCGTCATAACTAACGGGTGAGGCAAAAGTTTTGCATTAATTTTGTTTTTAATATAACTCTGCAACGGAATGTCGTAGAGACTTGATTTTTTTTTGTTAGAAAGAGCAAAGTGTCTACTACAGAACTGTATAAAGGAGTTTGATTGGAAACGTTTTTTGAAGGCGATAGAGGTCTTAGAACTATTGACCCCGAAAAACTGTTCCGCAACTTTTTTGAATTTAGAAAAAAAAATTTCTATCATGAATGGATGCGGCAATTGTTGTTCATTGATTTCCTTTTTCTTTCTATACCACGTGGGAATATCGTAGACAGTTCAATCTTTTCTGTTAGACAGAGAATGATTCACAGTATATGTACCTATATTGGTTCAATTGTCATACGTGTTTCTGTTCGAAATGAAGAAGGACGAACGAGAAACACTTAGATTACGTGTGGGGTATACTGAAGCAAAAGGTGTACGCACAAAATTATGAAGCAAAAAGTCTCGATCAACTTGCTCGTCGTATAAGAGAAAAAATTAAAGAACTTGATAAAAGAATGATACAAGATATGATGTTTGATATTCGTAGTAAACTTCTAAAAATGTGGCGTGAAGATGTTTTTTCAACTTGTCATTAAATGTTTTTTGTACTTTAGTCATTGCTCTTTTTTTAATGAAACATAGAACTAGGCGTGAAAAATATTTTGTCGCGAAGCTGTAACAGAAACAAATCTAATGCAAAAGTATTGCCTGAGCTATTAATAAAAGTCAAATCGAACGGATAAAAAGATAACCTGTCTAACTATAAAAATTTTTTTCTAAATTCAAAAAAGTTGCGGAACAGTTTTTCGGGATCTATAGTTCTACGACCTTTATCGCCTTCAAAAAACGTTTCCAATCAAACTCCTTTATACAGTTTTGTAGTAGACACTTTGCTCTTTCTAACAAAAAAAAATCAAGTCTCTACGAAATTCCATTGCAGAGTTATATTAAAAACAAAATTAATGCAAAATTTTTGCCCCACCCGTTATATGGAATGATCGATTGAAAGGTAACTATCTTTGTTTATTAAGTGCACCTGAATGTGATCATGAAAAGGTGAATGTTAGCGGTGACTCATATCTATCCTGGTTTTCTCTCTCTCTCTCTCTTTGCAATTGTTATTCTTTTCTTTCATTCTCTTTTCCGTTGTATGCCGTTATATATATGTACGTGTGGTTAAGGACATTTAGTTATTCAGTCAGATATATTTTGAAATAAATAAACATCAGCTCGTCGAAACAAGCTAACAATTTGGTGCCGTGACCCATCTTCTTCTATTTACTACATCGAAGAAGAACGAACTGGTTAATAAATTTACTCATCCGTAACGAAAAGAGTGAAGTACTATCTCATCCTTCTAGGAAAGAGAAAATTACATATTTACATACAAGTTAATTTTAAAATTTAATTATCATAAGAAGGTATCTTTTTATATATAAAGTTCAATTTTTTTTGTCCTTCCTTTAAGTGCAAATATATATATATATTTAACAACGGCTACCGGTACAAGAAGAGCGATTAAAAAAAGTGGAACAAATATTTTATCATATGAACTAATTACCAATTCACCAACACGAATAAGAAATAAAAAACAAAACGATATGTCATTTATGCAAGAAATGGAAACAACTCCTATGGAAGCTCGACAAATTTATTCAAGCCAAAAAGAAGTAATGAAGAAAATAGCTGAATTTTCAGGAGAAGCTGATGAAATCGATATTGATGAATGGATTTTTGATTTAAATAATTTATTTTCATTAATGAAATTAAAAGATGAAACAAAAGTTCTCGAAACAATGGGCAAATTAACAGGACCAGCATTACGGTGGTATCAAGAAAATTTAAGATCATTCATTACTTGGAATGATGCTGAAAAAAAACTACGTGATCGATTCAAAGAATTTACATCCAACAGTCAATTAATGCAAGAATTTTTTAATATTCATCAAGAAGAGAACCAATCCGTTATATCATTTTATGAAAATGTAATTCGGAAATATAGAAAATCTCGACAATTTATTATTGAACAACAAGTTATCACAGTATTACAAAATGATGTTAAAAATTCATTAAAAGAATATTTAATTCGTAATGAAAAAGAAATTAAAATACCAGAAGAATGGTTGCAATTATCAAAAGAAGAAGAATATATACAAAAACGAATTCAACAACAACATAATGGTTTATATTCTGGAACAAAAAATAAAACATTTTTTGAACATACATTACCGACTGCAACAGCTCAACCAACACCATCGAATTTTCAATTGTCGAGTCGACAGCCCTTTACATCACGTCATTACTATAAACAACACCATCAACAACTACCATCATTAACAAACAATCGAACACATCCAAAACAAAATAAGTTTACGAATCTTAAACAACATCGGGAAAATTATCCAGAAAATAAAACACAAAAATCCAAACCATGTTTAATTTGCAATAAAAACAATCATGCAACAATAAAATGCTTTTATAAGAAGAACAACGGCTGTTTTAAATGTGGACAATCAAATCATCAAATACGTGATTATCCTCAACAACATTTTTTCGAATAAAGGGATCGGATGATGGCGACGATCCCTGTGGAGCCAAAAAGTCATCAACTACAGCAGAATTTAATCCCATTTTTGTTAACATATTATGCAACAACACTCCACAAGAAGCATTGATTGATACAGGATCAGCGATCACAATCATACATCAAAATTTATTAAATAAAATTTCACACAAAAAATTTACACCAACAACGAAAAATCATTTATCAGCCAATTGTTCAACATTAAATATTATTGGAGAGATACCATTAGAAATCAATATTAATGGAATTAAAACAACAGTAATCGCTGATGTTACAACAAATCTTGTTATGAATTTAATATTAGGTAGTGATTGGATTCAATCAAACAGTGTTTATATTCTTACACCTGAACAACGAATTATGATCCGAAGTCGAGGTAAAGAAGTATCAACTCCTTTTGTAAAACCACCTCTTTTAAATTATCCAGCTACTCTTATTAATCATATTACTCTTCCTCCTTTTTCAGAAAAAATAGTAGAAGCACAAGTTCAACATAACAATATGATAGATGTATTATTTGAACCAAATTCTCGATTACAAAATAAAGCATTATTTACCGCAAGTGCATTACTCAACATTAAAGATCGTAGAATAAGAATTAGTATAATTAACGCAACGAACCGACAACAAACACTTTCCGAAGGAACCAAATTAGGTATAGTGACACAATTATCTTCTACAATTGGTGTTATCATATCATCGGATCAGTTTAAAGAACGCATTCCAAAAGGAAAAGCGTGTAAGGTGCTCATTCCTGAAGGGAAAGGAGCGAATACATCGAATAAATTAAATTTTAACAACTTGCCAACTACAGCATTACATAGACAACAACATCAATGTCGTAAATGTTATCAACATTTTGATACTAGCAATGAATTATTCAAGCATCTTAGAAACCAATGCTATCCTGAAGAAATAAGACAACAAATAAATAAATTAATTGAACATATTAGTGATGATAAACAACGAGAACAAATCTTAAAAATTTTATGGAAATATGGAAAATTATTTGACATTAGTGAACCATCAAAAATTGATATAATTTAAAAAAATGCTATTGATACTGGTACACACCGTCCTATTCAGACTCCATCATATAGAAAATCAAACAAAGATCAGGAAACCTTAAGAAAAGAAACAGATAAATTATTAAAAAATGGAATTATTGAACATTCAACATCACCATGGTCTTCACCTGTTGTTGTAGTAAATAAGAAAGATGGAACAACAAGATTTTGTGTCGATTATCGTCGTTTGAATCAAATTACAACAAAAGATGCTTTTCCACTACCAAGAATCGATGATATTTATGATCAATTAACAAAAGCAACATATTTTACGAAATTCGATTTTAAAGCTGGATATTTTCAAGTACCATTAGACAAATTAGATCGACCAAAAACAGCATTTTCAACTCGAGATGGACATTTTCAATTTAAAGTATTACCACAAGTTTTTACTAATGGACAACCAACATTTCAACGAATTGTTAATCAAATATTAGGTCCAAATAGGTGGAAACATGTACTCGCCTATATCGATGATATTATTATTTACTCACAAAATTTTAATGAACATTTAAAACATATTGAAGAAGTGTGTTTATTATTACAAGAAGCAAATTTTAAATTAAATGTTGATAAATGTGAAGTTGCAAGAACAGAAATATTATTTCTTGGACATTTAATTAAAGCAGGTACTATTAAATCTGATCCAGACAACATTCGTGGTTTAACTGCAACACGTGAACCAACATCAGCTGAAGAAGCATTTAGATTCGTCAAAGCAGCAGAATATTACCGAAAATTTATTTCAAAATTTTCCACCATCGCTGCACCATTACATAAATATTCTCCAGCAACAGTACAACAACAAAAGAATAATAAAAAATTAAAATTTGAATTATCTGCTGAAGCTAGAACAGCATTCCACCAACTCAAGAAAATATTAACAACTGATCTTATTCTCGATTTACCTGATGATACATTAACATTTAAATTACAAACTGATGCTTCTGTAGATGGAATTGGGGCTGTTCTATTACAAATGACCACCAATGGTGATCGACCATTAGCATATATGTCAAAGAAATTAACAAGAACACAAATTAATTGGCCAACAATTGAACAAGAATGTTATACAATAGTACAAGCAATAGAAAAATGGAACAAATATCTTCGTGGACATGAATTTATATTAGAAACTGACCATGAACCATTAATTCATTTTGCAAACAAAGAACAATTAAATAAAAGATGTGAACGATGGCGATTGAAATTAGCTGAATATCGATTTAAGGTGAAACATATTCAAGGTAAGAAAAATCATATGGCAGATTATCTTTCAAGATCACCAGTCGACATAGCTGAAGAAGATATTGAAGAACGAACTCAGTATGAATCAACATCAACACAAACAGATTTATCATTTTCATCATTAAACGATAATTTGATTCCATTAAAAATAACAACAGCAATTACTAGAGCTCAAGCCAAATTACGACAACAAGCAACGGCAACACCATCTATTAAACCGACAGATGGAAAAATTAATGAGCTCATCCCACAAGGGAAAGTAGCAACTGATGAAGAACTGATAATCAAACCAACAGATGAAAATCCAAACAAGATCATCCCATTTGATATGGATGATTTAAGAAAATGTCAAGAAGAAGACAAAACAATTCAAGAAATAAAAAAGAATATTAAGAATAAAAAACATTATTTTATTGAAGATGGAATATTATTTAAGAAACAACAACTACCACTTCCACCAGTACCATACGTCCCAGCAGGACGAATACGTGCTGATATATTAAAAATTTATCATGATACACCTGCTAATGGAGCTCATTTTGGACGTGACAAAACAATAAGAAAAATTCAAGAACGTTATTTTTGGCCAACAATGATAGCAGATATTAGAAATCATTTAAATTCCTGTTTACCATGTGCACAAAATAATTATCGTCGTCAAAAATTACCAGGAAAATTAAAACCAATACCACCACCCGAAGGAATATGGAAACTATTAAGTATGGATTTTCATGGTCCAATAACTCCAACATCAAAACAAGGAAACAGATATATTATATCTCTAACAGATGTATTATCAAAATTTGTTATCACAAAAGCTGTTCGAGATTGCTCAGCAACAACAGCAGTGAAATTTCTTATAAATGATGTTATATTAAAATATGGCACTCCAACATGTATATTAACCGATAATAGTACTCATTTTACTTCTCAAGTTATCAACAAATTATTTGAAAATATTGAAGTCACTCATCTTTATTCCACAGTATATCATCCACAAACTAATGGACAAATTGAACGATTTAATGCTATGATGGATGGAAAAATTGCCGTCTTATGTAATGAACGACGTACGGATTGGGATGAAGTATTACAATTTGTTACATTTAATTATAATACATCAATACATGCAACAACAAAACAAACACCATTCGAAATGATGCATGGAAGACAAGTTACACTTCCATTTGATCAACAAAAAGAAATTATTTCGCTCACACAAGATCCAGAGCATAGTGAAAAAATTAGAATATATCTCGAAAAATTAGTAAATGAAGCTCGAAACAATATTATAAAAAATCAACAACAATATAGAGCTCGATATGATTTACATAGACAAGATTTATTATTAAAAATTAATGATTTAGTTTTAGTAAAAACAAGAAATGTTAGAAATAAATTTGATATACGATATGAAGGTCCATTTAAAATTATTGAACAATTAGGGCATAAAACATTCGTCGTTCAACATGTAAAAAAATTAACGTTAACAAAACAAGTGATAATGGATGTTATCGTTCCATTGGTGGAACGATGGAATTTAATCCAATAAACACATCCCGAGAGGGAAAGATATGTATTAGATGGCACAATTAGTAAAGTAAGAATAATTATCATTTATAATTAAGTGAAAATGATTCAGTTTGATTCAACAGTCCATGTCGGGGAGACAGAATTTTACCTTCTCACTGACAAGGAGGGGCTGTCGAACTCGAATATTAAATATTTTTTTCTTCTTTTTAATACTTAATACGAAATGATATATTATTCAATCATAATGTGTAACAATCGATGCACTTTAACAGTATCCCCGCACTGTTTGGCGCAAAGAATGACGCAAGTGGTACCAGTTCACAACTTTACTATGATTAAAACAAGATTATGTTATGTTCACATCTAGCACATCAAACGAAGAAAAATTTATATATATCAATTTTTCACCATCGAATATTTAACATAAATATTTACTTATTGATTATCTTAATGATATGGTTTATATACAAATGATTCAATTGATTTATATTTTGTAAAATCATCGAATAATAATTATTGTATATTCCATTTAATACATGAATATCTCGATCGTACACATATATTAACAATTGAATCAAAATATCACTTTTTTTAGTCAAACTCAACAAACATTATTATGCTATATATTACCAATATCGAAACAACAATATACAATTGTTTATCCGTATAGTTGTTTAGAAATAAAAATAAATGAAAAAATTAATTTATAGCTTTTTCAAGGTATACCATCAACAGATATTATCTATTATTTATTATTCCAAAATGAATTAAATGATAAACAATAGTTATCTAAACTAATTAAATTAATGATAAAAATTGATGGAAATGGAAACCGACAATGTTCTTGTTTACAAAAAAGATGATAAAATAAAATTAAAATTATTCTCGTGAAAATTCTATACCCCATCAATTGATACAACTCTTATAGAAGATCCATTACTAATGGATTTGCAATTTCAATCATTTCATATTTACCTTGAAGATCATTATGTTTATGTCTTAAAGATTTATTTAGTCATTTATCAACGCTTGAACAAAATACCCCAACAAATATAAGAGAAATTCAAATAAAACTTGAAAATATGCAAGATGAACTCAACCTTGATGTGTGGGGACACACATCCAATATGGGAGGGGAGGAATGTTAGCGATGACTCATATCTATCCTGGTTTTCTCTCTCTCTCTTTCTCTCTCTCTCTCTTTCTCTCTCTCTCTCTTTGCAATTGTTATTCTTTTCTTTCATTCTCTTTTCCATTGTATGTCGTTATATATATGTACGTGTGGTTAACGACATTTAGTTATTCAGTCAGATATATTTTGAAATAAATAAACATCAGCTCGTCTAAACGGGCTAACAGTGAAAGTGCAGAAAACTCAATGGGATACTATTTGAAGTGATCAAAACATCAAATCAACAAATGATCATCATCACGGACCAAAAGACGACGAAAAATTATAGACTAAACAGAACAAGATCTGGATAGAATCAACGTCATGGATGAAAAAATGGAACGAAAATATATAGACTAAACAATAGAACAGTTAGATGTTGTTATTATAGATCAAAAGATTCGCCAAAAAAGCTTGTTAGCGCAGCCCCTTTGGGGCTGAAATGTGGAACTCACATATCTCCTTTGGTTTCATTATACTAGTGACACAATACCCAATATTTAAAATCTCCAAAAGATAATAGTTCTTTTCTAAAGATAATCGATTATTAGAAAATGTTAAATTTTTATCTCTAAATTTCGAACAGAAAGTTTTATTTTCACGAAGTTGCCAAGGTCTGTAATGATAACCTACGTTTCTATGGTCTCTAAGGCGGGAGGGGGAGGGGGGGCGGGTATGTGTATGTAATGTTCTTTTTGGTTGCTATGGTCTGTAGGGGGGGGGGTATGTGTGTGTAATGTTCTTTTTTGTTGCTATGGTCTGTAGGGGGGATATGTGTACATAATAGAGATCGGCGGTTCCAGTTCCGGTTCCGGTTTCTAAAAATGAAAAAAAGTCGGTTCCGGTTCGGTTTCTAAAAAATTTCATGGAACCGCAGTCATTGAATCATCAGATATATGCAAAAAATTAAAAATGTAATTTGTGAAATTTTCATTCTTTACTTGTCCAATTAAAACGCAATTGATATTTATTGAAAAAACCTTTGTTCAAAGCATGTAAGAGAAAGTAAAACAATAAAAAAAACTTTTTACTATACTATGTGGTCAAGACATACTTAATTACGAACGCTTGCTAAAAAGAATCAACTTCATCGTTTTTTTTATCTTCTTCAATATCATCATCACATAAAAAAATGTCATCTTCTTCAGCCATTTTGAATATTTTTGTTTTTATCAAAATTGATGATGTTTATTGTACTATCGAGAAAACAACGAGTTGATCAGTAAATACATCATTTTAATAAAATATTATTTTTATTTTAATCTGTTCAATAGTTATACCTTTCTGTATTCTTATGTACCAACAGCAATTATTGATACGAACAATGAAAGCTTTCATTATTCTTACACTTCAGAATATATATCAATGAAAAACGATGGCGTTAGTACTGATATAGAAAAAAACGGTTCCGGTTCCGGTTCTGGCAAACTTGAAAAAATCGGTTTCGGTTCCAAAAAAATTCAAAATAGCGGTTCCGATTCGGTTCTCGGTTCCTTTTGTTTTTGGAACCTCCGATCTCTAGTACGTAATGTTCTTTTTGGTTGCTATGGTCTGTAAGGAGTCTGTCTGTAAGGGGAGGGAGTTGGGGGTGGGGGAGCCGCGAAACCTCGAACTTAAAACTTACACTCACTATTTTCTTCGAAAATATATGTGAGTTCCACAAAAATATAGACTAAATAATAAAAAAAATTGGATAGCGATCAGACCGTCACGAAGTATAAATTGGGTTGCATTCGGTTATTTGATCAGTTGACTCGCTACTATTACAACCCATACCTTGATGTATACGATACAATTATGTACAATATGTGTCTTACTGCTTAATTTTCTGATATATGTTGTATCCAAGGGGGAAAAAGCGGATCCTGGATCCTCGGATCCTATGGATCCTGTGGATTCT